AAGCCAATGATGTGAGGAATTTGACTCATAGCCGACATTTGGCAGCCCTTTCAAAGGGGTCAAGTTATAACGAGGGTCTCATGCTCTATGGATATACAACCGGCCTTTCAAGAGGACACCGGGAATTTGCTTAAAACACAATACAAGTCAAGGTTGCTTCTGCTGCTGCTTCTTTCAATTAATGCTAAATTGAATTAATGGATAAAGTCAAAGACCTAAGGGTGTGTAAACTGTCGTTCAGGCTTCAATTTTCAGGATATTGTGTATTGTTTTGCCTTTACAAAACTAAGATTTTCAGGGAGAGTCATCAGAACCATAAGAGTGCAATACAAATTCTCAGGATTGCACATGCATTCATCAATATCCCAAAATAACTCCATAATACAGTGTCTAATATTTATTAAGACTTAATAAATGAACTCAGCTAGCTTATATGAGAAGCTCTCATTATTTATATGTTAAATATTTATATTTTATTTTACTGTATTGTGTTACCATGCACAATGTTCTAGAAAGTTACTTTAAATTTAAACATGGTCAAAGGCTGCCCTCTATTGGCCAAAGAGTAAAAACATGCAACCAAGAAACATGGACATTGGTAAACTACCAAACTATTCATTCGTCCATTCATTCATTCGGACTGATGATTTTAGGCTAATATTTATATTTGTTAGATTATGTTTTAGATGCTGTAATTTTAATTATGTATTTATTGTATTATTTACTTTTTAAATATTTGTTTCTCTTTTTTTTCACTAGTTCACTTAAATTGTCCTGCAAAGACAAATCACTTTTCAATAAATTTTTTATTTTTTTAAAATAAAGTACAAATATTCCGAATTAGCCTCTAAATTAAGAGCTCATGAAAACGTGCACAATAATTGTAATAAGTATTACTTATTATTTTTAATTATTTTTTTAATTATTATTTTATGTATTATTATTATTAAGACTATATGATATGGCCAAAGATATAATGGCAGAATGGTAGATGCTTTTAAGTTGATTTTATCCAAACAAATATGAATGAATATAAATGATCATATATTATATGCTATATGAGATTAAGAGAACTGATCGTTAAGATGCACAATTAATGTGTTAAAATCAACACAATTCTTTAACATGAAATTTCAGAATGGAATGAGTAATTTAGAAAGCTATCTAGCCAATATCGATAAATGGGAGGTACAATTGGACCACGTGTTGTACCATTGAGTTGAACGGGATGCTAACGAATAGCTCTCATCAGTTATACTGAAGTTAACCCGTTGCAAAGTTAACCAGTTACAAACCACGTCTCCAGATGGTGCTGTACTCATTAAACTATCCTTTAGATGGTGCTGTACACTCATCAAACTCAGTTCCTTTGCAAAACTGCCTCTGATAGTAAATATTGTAAATGTTAAAAATTGTGAAGTTAAATGCTCAATCAATGCACTTTTAAGTAAAAATCTCTAGCCTAATAATATTTGATCAAAGTGCACTGGTGATAAATATAATCGCTTATATCACAGATCATATCACAAAAATGTAGGATTAATTTTATAGCCATCTATGTCTCGATTAATAGATTAAATAAAACCACAAAATAATAAAACAAAGCGGAGTTTGTATTATGTGTGTAAAGATTCACATGCAATACAGGGAAGTGCAACCCACTACAAACAAACATTACAGTACAGTTTCTTGTAAAGAAATAATTGAAGCATACGGTGTACACACTGCCAACATGTGATTTAAAGACAACAGTAGGATATATTGTTTCGGCACTCATGGATATTTTGTATGATGGGTTTTTTATAGTAATTACCTTGAGTTTTGTGTTTGTCAAATAGATATATCCTACTGCAAAAAGCCATAGTAAAGTCATTTGGCTGACGTGAAGTGCTTGGCCTTTACCCTATTTCCTGCTCTTAATGCTTGTCACTGTGGCATTTGGCATGTATAAAATTTGTGGTTAAACATTTTTCTCATTTTATAGCTCCTGGGCATATATTTACAACAGAGGTCCACTGAAAAGCTACTGGGAAGAAAAATAGGCTTTATGAGATGACACCATCAACCTTTGCGCTCCTGGTGTTTCTGAGGCCAAAACACATACAGTAACTGTGTTGTCCAACTTGTCTGACAGCTGATGTTTTGATTGTTTCACACCTATTTGTACAAGACAGTAGCCATTTTAAAGCAAAAGTTTAATTATTAATATTTCATGACATAGTGTATTATGTTGGTGTGACATATAAGCTATTATTCTAAACATCATTAAATAAATTCAATGCACACAGACTGAAGTAGTTTAAGTCTTTGGTTCTTTTAATTTTGATGATTTTGGCTCACATTTAACAAAAACCCACCAATTCACTATCTCAACAAATTAGAATACTTCATAAGACCAATAAAAAAAACATTTTTAGTGAATTGTTGGCCTTCCCCAGGAAACCTTTGCAGGTGTTTTGAGTTGATTAGCTGAATGACATGTCACCATATTCTAATTTGTTGAGATAGTGAATTGGTGGGTTTTTGTTAAATGTGAGCCAAAATCATCACAATTAAAAGAACCAAAGACTTAAACTACTTCAGTCTGTGTGCACTGAATTTATTTAATACACGAGTTTCACAATTTGAGTTGAATTACTGAAATAAATGAACTTTTCCACGACATTCTAATTTATTGAGATGCACCTGTACATACATATACTGTATATATATATATATATATATCACAGAAGAAAAAATTTACAAAATTTACATTTTGGAGTGACCTATCCCTTTAAGAGCTTTACATTCTCACATGGCCAAAAATACACTTCGGACAATCGTGCATGCTTGGAAACTGTTTGTTATGTGACCATAACTCTTTCTGTCAGTTGTCTGGAAATCTGACATCAGATGACCGATGTCTTCCATCCATAACTGTGTTTCACTTCTGACCACTCAGGAAAACAGCCACAGAATGTCCAAGTGTCCATTTCCTGTCCACATGCCTCACCCCATCTAAACCAGCACAATGCGTCTTTAATTACGTAACACCGGCACTTCTTTTTATGTGTTTTTCCTAGGAGCGTGTGTATACGCCGACGTGTGTGTTTCGTTGTTTCTGCACTTGTGACGCTGCATATCTCAGGGATGAGGCCATCCAAGGGGAACCTCAGGAAAATGACACAGAGGCTGATAAATGTGTTTGCTGTGGCACCAGGCAAAGCAAGCCTGACTGTCGCCCGCCTGCTTTTTCTCAGCAAACTGAATGTTGTTCTCATACATCCCTGCTGTTAGAGTACAGCAGGGACGGTGCAGATTGAATACATACAGTAAGTAATAAACACGTGCATGCATCTAAGGCATAATGCATTCCAAATTGCACTCAAAATGAACATTTTGGCATCATTTTCTCACCCTTATATTATTATATTAAATTTAAAAGCAAAAATTCAATTAGAGACTGGTGGATTTAGACATGTCACGGCAGGTTTGATGTCACTGACAGCAATTGTCATTTTGCATGTCACACAGAAAAAGTGAACAATGACCTAATTTTTCATATCGAATGGCTTCGAAAGACTTGAAATATATTTAATATATGAGCTCAAATGAACTACATTTATTATACTTTAATGCTGCTTTTTTCCCTTTTGGAAATATACAATACCATAAAAAAGACTGGGGTTAGTATGTTTTGTTTTGTTTTAAAGGGGTCATGCCCATTTTCCACAAGTTGATATGATTCTTTAGGGTCTTAATGAAAAGTCTGCAACATAGTTTGGTTAACATTTCTTAATGGTAGTGTAAAAAACACCTTTTTTACCCTGTCAAAAACAGCTCTTTTCAGATCAAGTGTTTTTTGTAGCATTTTCCTTTAAATGTTAATGAGCTCTGGTGACCCCGCCCCTCTCTTCCGAGCCGCTCTCTGAGGGACTGTTTACTTTAGCTGCATTCATCGTGAAACTTGCTAATTAGCACATTATTTGGAAAGGCGATTTGCAAAGATTCGTTAAAAAAAAACTTTACACACTTCTGTAGGTGAAGCTGGATCACGAATGATTTGCGCGAACATAGACACATTTAGGTAGATCGGGGGCGCATTCCCTTCAGAAACAAATGTAATCCACTGTGTCTTCAGTGGCTCAGATGTCGGGAGTAAATGACAACTGCTATGTTCATTATTACATCCAACAACAGAACACCTCAATCGCTTAGGAGTCACTCTTGTCTACATCTGCTCTGGCGGTGAAACAATGGCGGACTGATGACAGCTCACTCAGAGCAGGTCTAAGGTAAGACGCCAGTCCAGTCTGTGCTGAAACGCCACTGTCAATCAAAGTATCGTGGGAGGGGCCTGTTTTTGTGATGTCACACATACAGGCATCTGAGATCGGCTCGATTTGAGAAAGGAGGTAAAGATTTTAGTAGATTAAAAAAAACACTGGGCGGATTTTGATCATTATAGGGTGGTTGTGTACACACACTGCCAACACACATTTCAGTTCAAACAACTTGTAAAAGTGCGTGTAGCATCCTATGACCCCTTTAAGAAATTAATGCTTCTATTCAGAAATGACATTAAATTGGTCAAATGTAATAGTAGAAACACTTGTAATGTTAAAAAAATCAAAAATGTTACAAAACTCTTTTAAACTTTCTATTCATCAAAAAAAAAGATGATTTGAACAAAGTAATAAGAAATATGTCTCGAGTAGCAAATTTCTGAAGGATCATGTGACACTGAAGACTGGAGTAATGACGCTGAAAATTCAGCTTTGCATCACAAGAATAAATTACGTGTGTGTGTGTGTCCTATTTCGTGAATCCATTTCAAGTGGGTCAGATGTTCACTCTCATATATAAAAGAGAAGTAAAACAAGCCAGTAGTGCTGTGAGATGAATGATTATGTGCACAAGCAACAGAACTGATATATTAAGCGAGACCTGTTTACTATGTATTTCTTATGTTTCCAGGACTCACCCTCACAGTGGATGGAGAAGGTTTAAGTCTGGTTTAGTCCAGCGGGGAACAGCTCTCCATCATGGATCCACTTGACAAGCTGAGCAGAGAGAAGTTGATCTTCTATCTGACAGTGCCGCTGTCTTCGATCATCATCTTCTCCAACCTCTTCATCATAATAGGCATCGCCTGCAACCGTCAGCTGCACAACACCCCAAATTACTTCTTCTTGAGCCTGCTAGTGGCTGACTTGTGCACCGGCATCACCCTGCCCTTCATTCCCCACATGACGCTTGACCGGCAGCTGGATTTCAAGCACTGCTTGGTGATGTACATCTTCCCCAACTTTCTGTTCCTGTCGTTCCTCTTCAATTTGGTGATGGTGCATTACGAACGCTACCTGTGCATCGTCAGCCCGCTCCACCACAGCCAGTTCTGGGTTCACCGCTGCTTCCCATTGGCTTTGTTGACCGTTTGGCTCCCGCCATTGCTGTATGCATCACTTCCCGCTTTTGGATGGAATAATTGGGTGGAACCCAATTCTAACAAGAGCTCCGACTCAAACGAGACATTCTTGAGATCAACCACGTCTCAAAACTCCACCAAAGAGGATGAGGTTTGCTCCTACAAACAGGTTTTTCCCAAGGCCTTCATTTATTTGGAAGTGTGCGGACTGGTGTTGCCGGCCATGCTGTCCATTGTAGCCATGATGGGACGGGTGTTGTGGATCGCGCGCAAGCAGCTGCAGAACATCTGTAAGCTTCACCGTGCCGTGGACCGTCTTCAGCAGCAGCAGCAGCAGCAGCAGCAGCAGCCATCGGATCAGGAGCAGCAGCTTAACCTGCGCTACGCCAAATGTGTGGCCGCCGTGTCCCTCACGTTCCTGGTCTGCTGGGTGCCATACATCATCTACCAGCTCATGTCCGTGACGATGCTGCAGACCGGTGTGAGCTTGCCGAGCTCTTCTCTGTACATCATCATGTCCTGTACGGGAATCGGGAGCATGGCCATCATTCCGCTCATACTGGGACTGGCCAACAAGCAGTACACTGAGCCCATCAGCAGGCTGATGCTTAAACTGAGAAACCGCTGGAGAGGAGGACAGAATAACAGAGATATTGCACTTTGACGAGTGGACAGTGAGTAGATAGGATGTTTGAATTGAATGTATAAATGAAAAATCTGTTGTGCATTAAATGCTTTATGAAATATACACTACTGTTTAAAAGTTTGGCCTTGGTTAGATTTTTTAATACTTTGGAAAAAAGTCTCACCAAGGGTGCATTTGTTTGATCAAAAATACATGAAATATTGTAAAATATTACCATTTCAAATAGCTGTTTTCCATATGAATACATTTTAAAATGTAATTTATTCCTGTGATACAAAGCTGAATTTTCAGCATCATTACTCCAGTCTTCAGTGTCACATGATCCTTCAGAAATCATTCTAATATGCTGATTTGCTGCTCAAGAATTTTTTTTTATTATTATCATCAATGTTGAAAACAGTTGTGCTGCTTCATATTTTTGTGGAAACTGTGTTTTTTAATGAATAGAAAGTTCAAAAGAACAGCATTTAGTTGAAAAATAAATATTTTGTAACATTATAAATGTCTTCACCGTCACTTTTTAATAACAATTTAATGCATCCTTGCTGAATAAAAGTAATGATTTTTATTTAAAAAATTTCTGATCCCAAATTTTTGAACGGTAGTTTAAAAGAACACAACACTTAGTAATCACATCTGTCTTTTGTCAGAGAGTTTTGTGTTAAAAACTAAAAATCATACATATATGTTCATCTTGTATATATTTTGTTATGCCTTGCATACTTAAATGTTCAGTTTTCTGAATTGTGCTGATTTGTCACCAAGATAAAGTCATCTAGTTGACTAATGTTGAGTGCTTTTAATGAATAGAAAGTTCAAAAGAACAGCATTTAGTTGAAAAATAAATATTTTGTAACATTATAAATGTCTTCACCGTCACTTTTTAATAACAATTTAATGCATCCTTGCTGAATAAAAGTAATGATTTTTATTTAAAAAATGTCTGATCCCAAATTTTTGAACGGTAGTTTAAAAGAACACAACACTTAGTAATCACATCTGTCTTTTGTCAGAGAGTTTTGTGTTGTCACTAAAAATCATACATATATGTTCATCTTGTATATATTTTGTTATGCCTTGCATACTTAAATGTTCAGTTTTCTGAATTGTGCTGATTTGTCACCAAGATAAAGTCATCTAGTTGACTAATGTTGAGTGCAAAAATGACTTGTCAGTCTTGGATGTATCAGTAAAAAGATGTTTAAAACTACAAACCTATTAGTAATGTTTTACATTGTATGCAGCAAAACTGTGTTTATGATTGTGTTTAGTTATATTATAGCTGTATATTTTCAAATATATTCTTCAACATGGAGGGGATTTTTTAAAATAACATTTAATGAATAAAAATATATTAGACATTTATTTTACTTATAAATGTATTACTGTCACAGTTGCCTTCTGTGGCAAAACGAATAACACAGAGACGAGGATAAACTTAAAATAAAGAGTCTTTAATCCACAATCCAAAAGAGGTAACAAGGCAGGGAACAACATCGACTTTAATACCGGACGCTAGATACAGGAAAACACAGGGCTTAAATACTCAAACTAAACGAGATAATTAACAAACACAGGTGGATACTAATGAACTAATAAATGAAACAATGAGGACAGGAACATAATTAAATATGGGCATAAGGAAACACATGGGAAGCAAAACATACAAAACAGAGTCTGACATTACTCCCCCCTCCCGGAAGGCGCATCCTTGAGCCTCACAACATCCAACGGGGAGGGGGGTTCCAACAGGAACGGTACCCATTCCAGGGTCCGTGGCGGATCAGGCAGTTCGGGGAGCCATGGCGGAGCAGGCAGTTCAGGAGGCCATGGCGGAGCAGCCTCTGAGGCCGCGGCCCCCGCCCCCGCCCCAGCCTCTCCGTGGGCCAAACATAGGGACCGCGACCCTCTCCGGGTCTAATTCAGGAACGGGAGCCCTTCTTGGGCTAAACTTAGGAACAGTAGCCCTCCATGGGCTAATCTCAGGAACAGGAGCCCTCTCTAGGCTTGACGGGGGAACAGCAGCCCTCCCTGGGCTTGACTTGGAGACAGGAGACCACTCTGGGCTAAACTCAGGAACAGGAGCCCTCCTTGGGCTAGGCTCGGAATCTGAGGCCCTCTCTGGGCATGACGTGAGTACAACAGCCTTGACTAATGTTGAGTGCAAAAATGACTTGTCAGTCTTGGATGTATCAGTAAAAAGATGTTTAAAACTACAAACCTATTAGTAATGTTTTACATTGTATGCAGCAAAACTGTGTTTATGATTGTGTTTAGGAGTTATATTATAGCTGTATATTTTCAAGTATATTCTTCAACATGGAGGGGATTTTTTAAAATAACATTTAATGAATAAAAATATATTAGACATTTATTTTACTTATAAATGTATTACTGTCACAGTTGCCTTCTGTGGCAAAACGAATAACACAGAGACGAGGATAAACTTAAAATAAAGAGTCTTTAATCCACAATCCAAAAGAGGTAACAAGGCAGGGAACAACATCGACTTTAATACCGGACGCTAGATACAGGAAAACACAGGGCTTAAATACTCAAACTAAACGAGATAATTAACAAACACAGGTGGATACTAATGAACTAATAAATGAAACAATGAGGACAGGAACATAATTAAATATGGGCATAAGGAAACACATGGGAAGCAAAACATACAAAACAGAGTCTGACATTACTCCAACAGGAACGGTACCCATTCCAGGGTCCGTGGCGGATCAGGCAGTTCGGGGAGCCATGGCGGAGCAGGCAGTTCAGGAGGCCATAGCGGAGCAGCCTCTGAGGCCGCGGCCCCAGCCCCCGCCCCAGCCTCTCCGTGGGCCAAACATAGGGACCGCGACCCTCTCCGGGTCTAATTCAGGAACGGGAGCCCTTCTTGGGCTAAACTTAGGAACAGTAGCCCTCCATGGGCTAATCTCAGGAACAGGAGCCCTCTCTAGGCTTGACGGGGGAACAGCAGCCCTCCCTGGGCTTGACTTGGAGACAGGAGACCACTCTGGGCTAAACTCAGGAACAGGAGCCCTCCTTGGGCTAGGCTCGGAATCTGAGGCCCTCTCTGGGCATGACGTGAGTACAACAGCCCTCCTTGGGCTAGATGTGGAGTCAGGGGCCCTCTCAGGGTTAGACTCAGGAACTGCTTCCCTAGAGGCAACAGGAGAAGCAAGCGGCTTGGGAATGGCATCCGTGGCCATGACAAGAGAAGCCGCCTGCCCCAGACGAGCCTCCATGGACAAGACAAGACCGACTGGAACTGTTCCTATGGACACGACAAGACTTTCAAACATGGCTTCAGGGGACATGACTTGACTCTGGTCAGGGACTCGAGCCATCTCTCGACACTGGAGCGAACTCTGGGGCGCGTGCTCGGGCGAGGAAGAGGGCCGTGAGCCATCCATTTCTCCTCATCTGGTTACGGGTGGATAGGGCGGCCGGCGGGCTTGACTGATGAGCGGCCGGCGGACTCGCAGTACTCGCAGTGATCCCACAGAATTTCCACGCTTACTCCACGAAGAGGAGATCTCAGTGGGCTAAGGCAGGAAAAACGAGCAGCGACTTCCAAGCCGCAGGAAGAAAAAACAAGAAAGCAAAAAGACTTCCAAAACCGAAAAAACAAAACGAGGAGAAGGGGCGCCACTTACTGTATGGGTCCGGTATTCTGTCACAGTTGCCTTCTGTAGCAAAACGAATAACACAGAGACGTCTTTAATCCACAATCCAAAAGGGGTAACACAAGGCAGGGAACATAAGGCAGGTAGTGACACACAAGAACCCCTACATCGAGGTTAATACCGGACACTAGATACAGGAAAACACAAGGCTTAAATACTCAAACTAAACGAGATAATTAACAAACACAGGTGGATACTAATGAACTAATAATGAAACAATGAGGACAGGAACATAACCAAATATGGGCATAAGGAAACACATGGGGAGCAAAACACACACAAAACACGGAACAGAGTCTGACAATTACATTATATAAAATTAATTATATTATATATTAATACATTTTTATATTTCATAAGTATAAAAATACATTACTAAAAATTGATTGTTTTTGTGGTTTGGCTAGGGGGAAAAATGAAAATAAATCTTGAGCCATCTATCTATCAGTCTGTCTGTCTGTCATTACAAATTGAGGACATTCAGTAGACTACAACATAATAGTTTACCAAACATTCATAATCAAAACATTTCTCACTGAGATAAAGCATTTACAATGAGACACACTTTTGACGTCATACAGCAAATAAATAAACCATTATGGGAACTTTAAATTGACCAGTGGTTTAGGATGTGACCATAGATGTTGTAAGATATTTTTGCAACTGAGATATCCTACTCGAACGCTCATTCCCAGAAATGGTCCTTCTGCTGACAAACCCATGAACAGTGTATTAATCACGGTGGGAAACTGTTGAGTGATACAATGGAGAAAGTCTGGAGCAAGTCTTTTGAGTATTGTCTGTGTTTGCATACTGTCTGTGTGAGCCACAAGACAAAAAGCTAAAATCACAAAGTAACTGTAAACAAGAGATATCAAGACAAATCGAGCTGTCCTGATGGTTTGGGTTGCAGGATAAAATGTGAAACATGTCGAGTCCCTTGAGAACATTTCAGTAAGTTCACTACAACCATTGGCAGGTACACTCTAATGTTGATCATTACTCACATGTGCATTTATATAAAGAGGAAAGTATTTGATTAACCTCTTAGTCTGTAAGCCTGACTCTTTGTTCCCCATAGTTTTGAAATAGAAGCTAAAGAAGGTCAATAGTGTAAAAAACCACAAACACACCCTCATCCCTCCACCCACTCACACACACACACACACACACACACTTAAGTGCATACAAATTCATCTCTTGCACTTCCGATACCCAAAACTTTCTTCCTTCTTGCTACTCACAGTGTTCCGTTGTAATGTTTTCAGCTGACATCAAAAAACAATCTAATTTTAAAAAATGGTGCATGCAAAACATTGCTATTGATCATAC